AAAAAAAAATTTTTTTTTTTTCCCCCCCCCCCCCCCAGTCACTTGTGTGTTTAAGCAATCTCTCCACTCTGCAAGGGGGAAAAAAGAAAAACAGCAGGTCAGGCACAGACAACATGTACTGACAGATCACATGACTGAGGGACGCCATGAAGGTTGTAAATGCAGGCACTGGTGGTAAAGTTAATTTTTCGGCACCATTGCAACTTCAAACAGTCACTGAATGAGGCAGTTGGTAAGCAAGTTCTGCCTGTATTTTCATTTGGGATAATTCCTTTTTAAATCTAGGGTCTCTGAATCTTTTGGCAAGTTTAGTGGAATTTTCAGTTCCTTTCACCAGTTCTCCTGTACGTTCAGATTTTCATCTAAGATTATTTTTTAGTAGGACTAGAACAACAGACATTTTCCCCATGTGTTTCTGAGAAAAACCAGTACTCAATATGTACAGTGTTATTAATGTAATAAAATTGGTTTTGCAGTAACACTACAAGGAACAGTAATTTATTACCTAGTCAGTTAAAGTAAATAATAACTTTGACTAAAATATAACATAGAACTGAATAAAATCTTAAAAAATCATATATATTTATCTTGTAATCTGTTGCTGAGCAAAGAAATGGATTTCAAATCCATTTGAAATCTCGTTGGTCAACAGATTATGGATACTCAAATTTCTAAATTGCACTAAGTCATGCTTCTGTAATTTCTTTGTATTCAGGAAAGTCTAGGCCTGCAAAGTAAGTAACAGTATCAGAGGGAGAAAAATATTTATTTCTATTTTAAAAAGTCCAATAAAACAGATTACCATTTAAGATTCTTTTATTCATGAGTCAGGATTGTATTTTGGTTTCTGTAAGTAGGATCTTAGAAATGCACCACTTACTCTGAATTGCTATTGTAATGACTGTCACAGAGCGATTTCAGAAGTAAGCACATTATACTAAGGGGGTGCCTTGCTCCAGTTTTCTGTCTCTGGGTTCTTTTGTTGGTATGTTTTATACTGGGTAACAGATTCATAATCACCAATAACAATGAAATTATTGAAGAGAATTTTATAATAAGAGTTAATTATCTCATTGTCTTCAGATACCTGGACAAGAATTTCCAATTCTATCTAACAGTAACTCCTAAAAGAATGCAGTGTAATATGAAGTAATAAGCTATACTACTACAATTTAACATTGCCATGAACCAAAGCAACTGGCTGTTTGTTATGTATTAGCAGTGGCTTGACTCCTGGTCACTTTATGGACACATCCATGGAGTTTCTTGGCCACAGCACGGAAGCAGTTTGCTTTCTTCTGGGACACGTTTTTACTTCCTACTTTAGCCTACAACTGTATTCTTTCACTGAAGTACTAACCAAGTCAGATCCTACTTAGCTTCCAAGCCTAGACATGGTCACCCAAATAGTGCTGCCTGCACAGACTCACAAAATTATGTATATAAAAAATAGATGTCATTATCTAAAGAAAGACCATTATTTTACCTATTCTTCATATTGGCTCAGAAATTAGCAGGACTAACAAAAAGAATCTCAAGAAATCCCAGTAATTGGATGTGCTCATGGGAAAAGCCAATCTCACAGTAACCTGGTTCCATACCATTTAGGGCTTTATAGGT